TCGAAACGTCGATACAAAAAAAACGAAACTTCGATGTGCGTTCTCCTCGAATGTCGTATTAAGAATCGCATTCTGATGCAGACGAGCCTTCCAGTATGGGCCAAGCACGACGCGTCGCTTGTCGCCAAAAGAGTGCATAGTTTTTTCAGTGGCTCAAACGCCATCCACTAACTATCGACTTCGCCATCCCATCCGCACCTATGTTGCCGACGTGGAATAACTTTTAAGATAATTCTTTCATCCACTAAATTACACTTGCATTCATTTTTTATTAGCTGTTCATTTATTTCATATAATTAGGTGACTAAATGATCATCAATTCAAATGAATATAAACATGGTAAATGAGCATTTATTACAATGATAAAAATGTGTTGAACCGTTGCATGACACGGTGGGTTCAAATTCTGTCAGTAACTAATCTAATATTTAATCTAATAAAATCAATTGTTTGAAAGAAAAAAAAAAAGAATTTAAGGATGATTTTCAAGCTACGATTAAGAAATTGAAAGGTTACTATAGTGAAATTTACATTGTGAAGATATGTTACTCATAATCGGTAAGTAAAAAATAGTGTAAATAGCACATCCCATAAATTTATTTGTTATACATTATGTGAAATTGTAACCTCAAGTAACTGTGTTTAAAGCTTTCCAATAGATTCTCTAAATGTGGCTCTTTAAATATAAAGTTGACCTACATAGCAATGTAAAACTAAATAATGTTGATTCGCAACAGGCTTCACAAATCTTAATTTATTATTATTTTTTTTTTTTTTTTCATTGAGTGAATTTTTTATTATTTCATTTTTTGAAAAACAAAAAAACAAAAAAACATTATTATACCAAAAATAATTTTGGAAGAGAATCTCTAAATCTACAAGTGGTTTGCATTTTTTTAAATTGAAATTTTCATTTGACGACTCTCTTGGTGCATAAAAATCCCAAATAACAATTCAAATTTAATTTTGCGAAATCTTTGTGTTAATATAAATAATACAGTTTGTAAAAAAATTATAAAAAAAAAAAAAAACTGCAATTGGATTGCCGGCGACGTGGCGCTTTGGCCCGGAATTTCGGGGAGGGTATATGCGCAGCATGTAAGGAATAATCCCATTTGGATATGCGAATATTCCTTTTCATGATTCGCTTGCTGCATCTCTATTTTGTACTGTAGTAGGACACTGCCCTTACTGGGTTTGTTGGAATGACGCTTTTGCCACACCGTTTGAGGTGGTGGTTTTTAATCAATTTAACGAAATTGCCCTTGGTCGATGAATGTCGGCTAAGGGTTTTTATTTTCTCCTTAGGCAATGATTGGTTGCGTTCTGGAGGATGTAAAAAATGCGGCAGACGTCATGCGATATGTTCTTTATTCCCTTATGTAAGTTGTGAGATCACATTGTTTTATAGAAAAATTAATGAAAAGAGTTTAAAAATTTTGAGTTTTAATGATAAAAATAAAATAAAATAAAATAAAATGTCAAGTGAATAGTATTAGAATTAACTTTCTAGTGTAAAAATATGATTTTTTTGTTAAAGTGAACAGTGACTTTTTCGTTAAAATGAACAGTGGTTTTTTCGTTAAAACTCCCTTGGTTTATATCTTCTTTAAAAGTTACATTTTTTCAAAGGAGATCAGTTGATAGTTTCGTCAGAACAATCCATCATTTTGAGCGTTAGGAAAGTTTCACAAAGACATTTCAAGTTTCTTATGACTACCACTGTGTGATTGATCATCGCCATAAATCGAATATAGGATATATTGTATACAATATAGGCTTGAAATTCATCTCCAACTATTGAGCAATTCGTGGTAATTTCTTCAAAAGTTTATTGGTTTTAATGTTTTTGGGATAAAATAGTACAATTATGTGTCTATCGATTGTGAAATAGATTACTTGTATTGGGTTAATAGGTCATGATAAGAGTTAAGTTCATATAAGAAAAGTTATAACGCAGTAATCAACGTGACAATAATGAAAATGAAATTGAACATTCACTTTGTTTTATTTGTTTTTGCAGTTTGGATATGTAAACTACAATCTAATAAAGAATTCCTGAGTAAGAATAACATTTTTTTAAAGTATACATTTGCAAAAATGCAAGGAATGCTTTTAAGTATTAATGTCAAACTATAATTCGAATTGATGTGTGAATGTCATTACGTATTATAATATAAAAATTGTTGGATATCCGACTTAAATTCAATATTTAGTTTGATAAAATAACGACCGTTGTTAAGTATCATGGAATCAATAACTGTAATTTCTTTCTTTACAAGCCTTTGCTTTAAGCAAAGTGATTCCTTTAAATCTATCAAGCCAAACCCCACCATAAGAATAAGGCATAAAGAAAAGGAAGGGAAGATGAAATGTTCAAGATGCATCTTGTTCAATTTGCACCACTCAAAATTCTATCATGTTTCGAGTATGATAAGTATACAGTGGCTGATCGAGGATTGTAACCTTAAAGGGTCCCAGCATTAAAATGTTCAAGTTTTTTTATATAAAAACAAAGGGCGAAGTGCTAAAAAAAATTCAATTTATTCACTAAAGCACTTCGTCAAACACTTGGTGAGCTTGTTGTTATCAGTCAAATCATGATGCACAAATTTCAACAGATATCAACTTACGACGAAGCAATTAGATAAGTGATATCGAGAGAAATTATGGAGTATTGTCGACACCAAGGTTCAGTTTCTAAAAGATATAGGCGCTAGTTGGGTGGAGGGTTAGGGTATAGCGCCTAGGCGAGTGCCTAGGCGGATTTAAGTAAATTTATTATATTTTGTGTAAATAAGTGTATATTTATACTTTAAATATATATATATACATATAGTTTAATCATAAACTACAAAATAGAATGACATAAATATTATGAAGTATTGGACATAATGAAAACATTAGGAACAATCATATAATGTGTGTTCATTTAAGTATTCAACAAGGGTTTACAAATTATTGAAATAAAAAATGTCTAAGTGAGTCGCAACTTAGTCGGTGCCTAGGTGGGTTAGACCGCCTTAGCAGGTCTAGGCACCCTTTCTTAATTTTCAAACGCCTAGGCATTAGTCGGGGTTGTGGCCAGCCGCCTAGCGCCTAGGCGGGGCTTAGGCTGCGCTTGGAGGGGATTTTTAGAATAGTGGTCGACACAACATGTTGAGATATGCTTGACACTTAACAATTACAAAGCGATCCATACAAAATATTTGGAGAGTCTTCGAAAGACATTCACATGTATATTTTTCAAACTTCGATAGGAAACCATCTTGATCCTATTGTGCATCCGATGTATACAGGCAATGAAATGTCAAAATTTTTCTTCATTTATTTGGTCTATAAGGGCTAGTTTAGAGTCGATGTATTGTGGGAAAAAAAAAAAAAAAAAAACTGTTTTTAGAAGTAGGTGGAGAGCTGCTTTCACTTTCTGCTCATGATTTTGACAAAAAACATTTTTTATTTATTTATCAAACATAATTTTAGCTCCAACATTTTTTAAAAACTACTTTTAAAATAATTGCAACAATACCAAACCAATCGTAAATCAACGAATTCAACAATGTAAAACTCCAGCACATTCCATGCTTCATGGTATAATAGAAAACCCCGTAAGGAATCCAGCTGTGTCATCGTTGAGTATACCAAGAATACGTTTATAACGTTCTGGTTTGGTGGGTAAGCTTTTTAAGAGCCCAGTGACTTGCAATAAAGATCTTCTAGGTCTTTTGCATGCATATATAGCAGGAGAAGAGATTCATTAAGATCATTAGATCAAGTGATTCGAATTTTTTAAATTTTATTTAATAGTAAAAAATTATTATAATTTTTAAAAAATAAAAACAGATAGATCGTTAGATAAAATTAAAAAAACTCAGATCGTTTGATTTGATGATTTTGATGGAAGAGATTCGGAGAAAATCTCTTCTCGCATGCCAGAGGGAGCCAAATGTTGAAGAACCAGTAATCCCCAGAGCATGACGGTGTCGTTCCATGAGCCATTGCACCAGGCCGGGACACGTAAACAGCTGTTTTTGTTATAGATGTGTTGCTGCCGTATGAATGTGTGTACGTGTCGTTTATATAATAAAGGGATTAAATATAAAAAGACAAATCCCGAAACTGTGTCTGTGTTATCGTTTCCCGAAGCCAATTAAGAACCTATTAAAACGCATCCTGTTTGGTGGCGTGGATTTCAACAGGCTTGGACTCCACGAGAAACTTTGTAAAAACTACAGCTTAATTTGTCTTTTATTTGCCAACAGATCCTCTTCGGATCCTGGCGAGGACCTTGAGATTTGTGAATTATGTTTGTTCATCGTATATAGTATGATTAATTTTTGTCAAATATTATTTATATTTATTTTTAAATAAAAATATTTAAAATAATTTCTAAACGTACAATGTACGATAAACAAGTACGATTTATGAATTCTCGTAATCTTCACAAAGAGGATCTAGCAAGGATTTGTACTCTTTTATTTGCAGCACCAATAAGAAACTAGTAGAAATAATCAAGATTGAATCTCAAACTTTTCACTGTTTGTATGTTATTTTGGAGTACGATTTTCTCTCTTTTAAATCTTCTGCACTCGTAAAGTCATGTGGCGAAAGTGCAAGAGTGCAACGTCACTTGGTTTAGGTTGGACTTTTTTCCAAAACTATAAGAGATAACGGAGGTGTTAACAAAGTTAAGGTTAGTAGAATGGACATGTATCATATTTTTAGAGATGCCACTCTTTTAGTTTTCTTCTCTTTATAAAAATTTTGATGTGGTTTAATTATAAACGTTTAAATAAAAAAAAAAAAAAGTACAGGAGAGAAGTAAGATTTGAAAGAATAGAATCCTACTCATTAACCACAAAGGGGTATTTTCGTCATCTCAAATACCTTCGTCGGTTTACAAAAACCGAGAATCCAAATACATTGAAAAGGAGCAAGGAAAACCGAGGGCAAAACCGATATTTCATCATCATAAAGTAGCGCTACCACCAAGCTCACGTTGCTTGCTTTCCTTGCGCGTTTTATTTAAAGAGAAGCAGTCGTTGAGCAAACTTCCATCCAAGAAAAAAGAAAAAGCCAAAGCATTTGAAGGAGGAGAGAAAGTCTGCAAAATTAAAATACATATAGCATTTCCGTCAGTGCTCGGATAAGCTGATAGGTATGTTCCCCAGCTGTATATTTCATGTAATTTTCACCTGGGTGCTGTTCTTCTTCAAAATTTGTGGCCCTTTTCTTCCTCGCAGTTATATATTGATACCTCTATTATTCTGGATTGCTTTAAAATTTTGGGTTTCAGAATATTGATTCTATTTATATCCAAGGAAGAATTTTGAGATATGGGTTGAATATCCAATTTTGTTGGGGGCTTTGACCGTTTCGTTTCTTTTCTGTTCTTGTTGGTCAGAAGGTGGACGGTTTTCCATTTTCCAGGAAATCTCTTTGAAAAGAGAAATTAATTGATTGGTTTTGTTTAAATTTTAACTTTTTATTCTGGGTTTAGTTCTGATTGTTGAAAAGATTATTACTTTTTTTTTTTATTTAAATTTTTATGATTAAGTTTAAATTTTCACTTTTCCCCCTATAATTCTGGGCAGTTTGAGGTGCAGATTGTTTTAGAACAGTTACCTCTTCAAGTTGGATTTATTTGAAATTTCCTCAGGATTATAATTTCTAAATCTGTGGAAGTTGGGAATCAGGGAGTTGATAGTGAATATGAATCTGTAGTTTATTAATTCATAGCAATTGGTAATTTCGTTGGTCAAATCCTTAATCTGAATATATTACTGGATTTTAGCATACTAATAGTTCATAGTGTGCCTACAACTCTGTATGCTGCTTGACTTACTCGTCTTGCTTTGTGTTTAGCTTGAAGAATTCGGACTATAAGCGGGGAGGCAGAGCTTCTCGTTCCTCTTAGTTTTGGAGTGAAAGTTTAATTACATGGGTTCAATATCGGAGCCAGAACCTAAGGTAAGTTACACCAAGCCCCCAGGGATTCGGTTAGTAGAGCAGATCAAGAAATCACCCATTTCATACAAAACCCACCAAGCCATTGTTCTTGTTGTTACATTTCTTGCATATGCTAGCTACCACGCCGCTCGAAAAACCACGAGCGTGGTCAAGAGTACTCTTGATCCCCAATCCTCGGTTACGAGCTTAAATTCGTGGCCATGGAGGATGAGTTACTTGAGTGAACCAGCTGAAAGCAGAAGACTTTCTAGGGTTCTTGGAGATGGTTGGGCCCCATTTAATGGATCAGATGGCACAGCCTTGCTTGGTGAGGTCGACCTTGCTTTCCTGGCTGTGTATGCTATAGGAATGTACTTCTCCGGACACTTGGGTGATAGGACGAATTTACGAATCTTTCTAACAATCGGAATGGTGGGAGCAGGGGCGTTTACTGCAGCATTTGGAGTTGGATATTGGGCAAACATTCACACTTTCTATTACTTCCTCGGCGCTCAAGTTCTTGCTGGTTTGTTTCAATCAACGGGATGGCCTTCGGTAGTTGCAGTAGTTGGAAATTGGTTTGGGAAGAAGAAGAGAGGGCTGATTATGGGTATATGGAATGCTCACACTTCTGTTGGGAACATTACAGGGTCTTTGGTTGCTTCCGCCCTATTGCAATACGGTTGGGGTTGGTCCTTTGTAGTCCCAGGTCTCATAATCGCCACCGTTGGTGTGGTGGTTTTTCTGTTCTTGCCTGTTAGTCCTGAGGATGTTGGAGCCAGTGAAGAAGATGAAATACAATCTCCCAAAAAAATTGGGGCAGGAGTAACGGAACCATTGTTGGAACCAGAGGAGAAGGCGAAGGAGAGTGCCGTCGGGTTCCTAGAAGCTTGGAAAATTCCCGGAGTTGCTCCTTTCGCTCTGTGCCTATTCTTTTCGAAATTGGTTGCTTACACGTTTCTCTATTGGCTTCCTTTCTACATTAGTCACACAGGTACTTACTTCAACTTCCTTGCTGCTTTGAATTTTTAGTTAACCGAATTTCCCAATGTGCTGTTATGCGAAATATCATAATTTCTTCATATCAAGACTCACATTTCGTGTCAACTCATGTTGCAGCTATCGACGGAAAGTACTTATCCAGTGAGTCAGCTGGTAGCTTATCCACATTGTTCGATGTTGGAGGTGTTCTTGGAGGAATCCTTGCCGGCCTTATTTCAGACCGCATGGGTGCCAGAGCGATAACAGCTGCAAGTTTCATGTACTGTGCTATCCCTGCTCTCTATGTCTACCGAAGCTATGGACACGTATCCATGACTGTGAACATTGCACTCATGTTCATCACCGGCATGTTTGTGAACGGGCCATATGCTCTAATAACAACAGCAGTCTCGGCTGATCTTGGAACACACAGCTCATTGCGTGGGAACTCGAGGGCATTGGCGACAGTAACAGCAATCATAGATGGAACAGGCTCCATCGGGGCAGCCATCGGACCTTTGCTGACCGGCTACATTTCAGCCAAAAGCTGGAGTGCAGTCTTCACAATGTTGATGGGAGCTGCTCTGATTGCAGGGCTGCTTCTGACTAGGCTTGTCGTGGCGGAAGTTGCTGCGAAGATTGAAGAATCGAGATCGCGAGTGTCAGCATCTCGGCCTCAACCTGCAGCACTCGATGTGTGATAATCATAGAGGAGAAGAACCTGGTTATTTTATGAAAGGAGGTCCTCTGTTGTAGTCATAGGAAGTAGAGGATTTTTGTTAAACCTTCTCCCCAGTTGTACCTTCTTTGTATTTTATGTTTGTACATTATTTGTGCGTTTTCATGAAATTAATTACATCATGATTGGGGAGGATGACAAATTAAGTCATCTCGGAAACCAAAAATTCCTTACACCGGGAAATAACACAATGTGTCTGACTTTTTCACATGATAGTGTGTAATGGGTTTAAGGTATCACCATAGTAATTGTGTCCGTTCCCGGTTCTTCTCCTCCTTCTAAGTCTCTCATCCTTTTGTAAGGAGTATTCATGAAAGGATAATATTTCCTCTTGCCTCACCGGTCTCTAAATCAAATGATCTTTAGATGATAAAATAAATGAACAATGTCAGTCTCATTTAGGAGAAGGAGAGAAGTGTTATCCTTCAAGAAATCATTCATAACCAGTGTTTAAAATATTAGTATCAGTAAAAATATTTATATGCAAATTTGTGGAAGTGTTATCCTTCAAGAAATGACATAAATTTGATAAAAAAAAATGTGGATATTTAATATGAAACTTTAGAGAATGTCATATGTAATTTATTGATATTTAATCGGATATGTTGAAAATATTGACTAAATATGTTGATTTTTGCCGAAATTTAAGAGTTTCTCCGATATTTTGTGAAATTTAAACTTCACTTCCTCTTTTCATATCTTTCTCTGATTTTTCCTTTACACAAAAATATTGACCGTATCAAAAAAATTTCAAACATATGGTAACAAAAGACTGCCGCCACAAAAAGTTCGTAGTACGAAAGGGAGCCTTAGATCCCGAGAGGCTTTTGGCATAGCTAAATCAATGTGGATGTGGGGGGACCAAGGAGGCTTTTGGCATAGCCAAAACTTCACCACGACCACAAGAACATGAAATGCTTTGGCTTTTGGGAAAGTAAATGATAGGCAGGTAATCGATTTGCCACGGCAGCTGCGACAACGGTTGGTGGGAAATATATGACTCCCAAACCAGATTACTGGTGGTGCTCCTTAAAAGTCAGTCTATGACAATGACTGTGAAGAAGAAGATGTAGCATTTTTCATCTACCTTGAGTGTCGCTATTTTCGGATTCAAACACGGCTCCTTATCTGTTTGGTGGTAAAGACTCTTTGATATCGAGAAATTTTTGTGGATATCGAAAACAATGTTTTATAATGTAATAATTTCACGTTTTATAATATGAGTAGACGATATAGTTATTGTCTTATTTTTAGAATTTAATAATAAAGCAATATATATGTACACATGTAGTGGAATATGCGATAGTGTTTTGGGTATACGAATAAAATATAATGTTTCACAACCCCAATTCCCTCATGCTTCCCTAGCTAGTAATAAACTAATCTGAAGCGGGTTGTTCGGAAGTTCTTCTAAGAAAAGCATGTATGCTCACAAGTGTTTTGTAGGAAGCACTTTCATAAGAAAAGCATGTATGCTCACAAAGTCCAATTGTTCATGTGGAACTCACATCGGCTCAATAGCATTTGAAGATGAACTTAGCAAACGCTTATGCACAAAGCACTTCTCATGTGAAAAGCGCTTTAGCACTTCTTAGGGTGTCGTGTTTTGCTACGTTTTCTCTAACATGTTTGTTGCCTCACCTAAAAGCCACACGAAACACATAATTAATTCGATTAATTATTCAAGCACTAAGATTAAAACACATAATTAATTCGATAAATAATTCAATCACTAAGATTAAATTAATAGCATCTTTAAGTATTTACTAATCCGATTCATAAGAACCACAAACTTAGCTGCATGATTCATGTCGTAATTCAAGCCCTATGATTAAATTAATACCATCTTTAAGTAATGCTAATGATTCCAATTGAATACTAACCGATCATTTTATAGGTGTTTTCTCTGTCGGAGAGTAATTTTCACACATCCCTTTTGTCCGTTTGCAAGAGTCGAGCAGACAAAACAAATACGCGATCGATGCCTTTCAGATAAATCCATCAACCGGCTGAGCTAACAAGGGTCATGTTTTGGATGTTATCCATACCATTCAGGGTAAATTACAACGAAAGGCCCAAAGACATCAGGAGCAACAGAAGAAACCACACCAGCTGATTAACTACACCAGCAGCAAGAAAAAACACTAGCAGGAAGGATAAGAACAAGCAGAGAAACAGAGTCAAACGAGCCAGGAAAACATCTTGGCTATAAGGAGGAATTAACATAAGGAATTTAATCTGGTCCGACTCTTTTTATGATACAATTCTATTCAACACCGTCGAAGGCAGGAAAGATTCATTCCTGATGATTCTATAACTCGAACCAAATTCAGTAAACCACAACTGCAAAATGAAACCTTCCTGACAGTAGTAGACAGCCAAAGTGTGACAAAGTCTTGCATTCCCGATTGTTTCCTTCCCTACCAAAGTGTTACAACTCTGATATGCAGTGCTGCTACTATTTGCATTTAAGTGTCATTAAGACATTATAACACAACCAATAGACCACAACAAAGAGTTATTTTCCATCAGCCAATGTGATCCTAGACAAAGCTAAACACCTAAAATGAACAAATGCAGCCAACAACGACACTATGCTACATCGAAGGAAACTTCGTACCAAATACAAGTGTGAAAAGGAAGTACCTTCTCAACACAATGCCAGACCAAGAAAAGAGATGTCACTGGCAATAATAAATCCTACAGACCTTTTCGGAGATTCGAAGGAAAAAATTACAATGAAATCAGAAAGACGTGTTGACATTCATCAGTCAAGGAAGCATGTTACGAATAAAATTCAAAAAGTCAAAGCACCAAGTTACGGGGAGAAAAGAAGTCTACTCTATGATGGCACTTGGTACGACCTCAAATCATTATATATTCATCACCTCAAGTTCTTTCCAGATCACGACCCGGAATCGTGACTCGAATAACATCAACTTAACGATGGATCACGCTAAAGTGTACTAATTATGCTCTCTAATGTTTCAAAAGATTGGATACCACCTCACCTCATACTCCAATACTCACATATCATCCATCACGCACACATGTCTAAGCCATTAAAGATTAAACTGAGCTACTAAAAGGGTCGAATTCTAGCAGCTGTCTACGTGCAATAAGTGAACCTGCACACTCCCACTCTACGCTCTGCAATAAATGCATACTATCAACTATCGAGGGAAATCTCTGATTCTTCGTAAAAATCATAATTACCCATAAACCATCGATGCTCAACAGCCACTATTGAGTCGAAAAGGCTCGCATTTAGCAATGTTTACACAACTGCAGGCACATCAATTAAAAAAAAGTGCATGAAATTATAAAATTCCCTCAAGGCCTTTCATTCACTATAACAAAAAGAGTATACATTTTGCATTTGAATCGAAATCCGAAGCCCGAAAGCAACGAGCTCATCACAAAATACCTATAACATAATTTCCAACAAAAATTTCTTAACCGAGTAGTGATCACATTAAGATGAAAATTAAAGCAGGAGAATTTCCCGAAACGAGAACCTGGGTCCGAAACGGCGTTGTTGAGGAAGAGACAAACCCCTAGTCGTCGTCTCGCTTTTTGGGCTTCCGGTACTTCTCCTCGTATTGCCTGGCGATGAAGACGGCAGTGTCGCCGAGCTTCTTGATGTTCGGAACGTCGTAGTTTTGGGCTATGTAGATCCCGGCGACCGTGCCCATTAGGAAAGAGAAGCTGCTCTTGATTATCCCCATCTGAATTTGCAGAACAAAAATCGAATTCGATTTCTAGGGTTTTCGATTTGAATGCGCGGGTTTTTATGGGGACGGAGACTTTTGGGATCTCCAGATTCGGGAATGGACGATGTGGTTTTACTTGTGCCCGGTCATCAATCTCCAACTGTCCAATGAGCCACATCATCTTATTTATTTATATATATTTATTTTTAATAAGGTCTAATTCTAGTCCATTGTGAATCTAAACTCATTCACTTTAAGACGTAAATAATATCGTTTGTTATAAAATAATTTTAATTCTTTAAAAAATTAAAATAATTGAACCGATTGAAAACCGAAACGAAACTAAAAACAAAATTGAACAAAAAACTATTAGTTTAGTTTCGGCTTTGTTAGTTAAAAAATCGAATCTTTTATAGTCTTTTCTTTGTTGGCTTCATCCTGTCCGTCCCATTACATCTAGTGCGTGTCATACGTTTTGGGTATAAGCTCTTATCGCAAGCACTAAGTAGGTAAACTACAATTTTCGCTAAAATAAAAATAAATTAATGTTATTTTGTTTATTTTATGTTAGGTGTTTATTTTCCAGGCTTGATTCTAAATCAACTAATAGTTTAATTTCAATTCAAAGTTAGGTAAACTTAACTTTAAGCCTAAATATGTTGAAAGCCTTATTGCTTAATTCTTTTTCTTTGTTTTTTTTTTAATTTTAATTTCTAAGCTAGAAAAAAAATTGAAAAAAATTGAAACTGTAATAAAAATCAAACCGAACCGAAGTATAAACTATTATGTGGCGTACTCTTCATCGTGCTCTAGCAACCAGGTTAGATCTCTCTAAAAAACGTGTGGCCATTTCTCCAACTTGTCATATATGTAATAAGGAAGATGAATTAGTGGAACATACGCTATTGATGTGTCCATGGGTGGAACCCGTTTGGTTTGGTGGTCAACTCAATTTATAAGGTGAACATGACTGAAATTGATGCTTTTCAAAATTGGTTATTTTCTTTAATTATGACTAATATGGGAAGCAAACGAGATAAAAACCGTATTTTATCACATGTTGCTTTCGCTTGTTGGAATATATGGAAAGAGAGATGTCATGCTATTTTCAATCAGAAAACTGTGTCACATTTGCAGGTGATTCGCAAGATTAATTGTGCCCATGCTGCTTTTATGGAGGCCTCCAAGAGATCCCAGCATGTTACCATGGGGAATACTCAAAGTAATCAAGCGGAATTGGATGGTGCTCATCAACCATGCTCGGTTTGGTCTACTCCCGAACATTCCTGGTACAAAGTAAATGTTGACGCTTGCTGGAATTCGATAACTAAAAAAAGGTTATGTTGCCACTATGATACAAGACCCCAATGGAACATTTATTGTTGCGAGGGGAGAAAGTGTTTCGGTTTCTGGGGTTCAGACTTGCGTCTGTAAAGATTTCGGAGATTAAGAACTGTACTTGGATCGACAGATCCCCATCTTCGATTGTACATATTCTGTACAAGGATGGTCTACCTTGTCCCCATTAAGTCGAGTATGGATGGAGAGGGAGTTAGGGTGATATAATGCTGTTGCTTGTGTCGTTCCCTGACTTTGTTCCTCTTTTCTTTTTTGGTTAGTTTTTTGATAGTCCTTGACGTGGGCTTTCCTTTTGTTCTTGGCTTTTCCCTGGTGTAGTTCCAGTTTACCCAAAAAAAAAAAAAAAAAACCGAAGTATAAACTCAGGTTGCTTTTTAATTAAGCCATCTTAATTGTTTCGATATTATATTTAATTTTCAACATTTTATATCTAACATACTTTTATTGGTGATACAGAACGAATTATTTTTAATGATGATACAGAACAAATATGTTTTTCTTTATTTACACGTCATCAAAATAGTTTATCTTTTTATTTTTGTTTTAACGAAAGAATTTTTATTTATTGTCAAATTTGGGGAGCTTGCTTTTTCTTTTTTTTTTCTTTCTATTTTTTTCTATTGCTTTCCACTCCCGCAAAAATTGACCCAGCCTGTAAACTGTCTTTTAGTCAAAATAAAAACAAAGAATCAAAATTAATAAAATTAAAATCCACCTCTCTCTCTCTCTCTCTCTCTCTCTCTCTCCATCTCTATCCGACGCGGGTGAAATTTGCGGAAACTCCCCACCGACGCAGCGGTCAGCGACGTCTCAGCTCAAATCAGGTCCTTGATTCTGTCAATATTTTCTGATTTATCGTTTAATTACTCCCAAATTTCGAACATTTCTGCTTGATTTCGCTCAATCAACTTTGGTTTCAAGCTTTTTTACGGTTTTACCCGTGTTTTCATGGCTTCGAATGATAGGGCTTCTCAATTGTATGCTTTGGCAGTTCCTAATAGCATTTAGAGGAGAAAGCCGATTCCTTTTGATTGATTTTGTATTTTGTAAGGTATTTATGCAACTTGATCATTCGGTGACTTCCGATTTGTCACGTTTTGTTGGGATTTATAGTTTCGATATCGAAAATTTTACTAAAATTATTGAAAAGGTCACTAATTTTCTAGTTTTTAAGGGTTAATTGTTCATTAACAGAAGTTGTTTAGCATCCTAACCGCCGGTTCTAGCCATTGTTGTTCTGAGAAAATGCTCATCAGTGTCGCTTTTTCGTGGCAGGTTATACGGTTTCAATCTGAGAATTTTCCATCGTTTGTTGACGATTAATGCTCCGTCGTGTTTGAAGCTAACTTGAGGTCTATGCCCCGATTTTTTACTTCAATGACAAGATATGATCAAAATGAGCAAGGGATCTTGCTAATTCAGTGGTGATGAGAATTTTGGAGTTGGGGTTTGGTAAGGAGGTTGAATTTGTTACCAATGGGTTTGAGGTATATAGCCATCTCCGCTGCATGTACAGCGATAAGCTTTGCGGGCCTCCAGTTGTGGACGGAAACTTCTTTAGTTAAACTAAAATCGGATGGACTAATTGCGGAGAATTTGATTAATGCTGCCAATTTTGGCCATGTATTTGATCTGCTTTTGGGTTCTTATACTACCGTTGGACTGCTGGCAAATTTTGTACTCAATGCATTCATTTTACTCGTTTTATGTCTCAAGGTAATTTTCTAACTCATCTGGAAACTTCTCTTGTTGCACAATTGTAAGTTTGATGGATGCATGAACTAGTGCAGTGGGTTTATATTACAATGAACAGGAGATTTATTAGTTTGTTCCTAATGGTTGTGGTATTACTTTCATTTGTTGTGCCACTTTGATGAATTTTGGCAAGAAACAAAATTTCTACACTGTCTGCTAGAGGCGGTCAGTTTGTTTTAAGATACCAGATACCATTATTCAAACATGTAATAACAATCTTGGAGCTAGTAAACTAGTCCATTGTCTGTTTTCTTTGTATGTATGTGAAGTTTGTTTGAGAAGGGTTGATTTGATCATTGTGATGTCTGTTTCTAATTTGCAGACTATATTCTTTGTGGAGTTGTATTCTTCTGAAACTCGCAAATTAATCGAACGCCTTATCAATTATGTTATTTACAAGGTGAATATTTTAACTCGCTGTCAGTTTAATTGACTTGCTACCAGGAGAATCACTACTTTAACTTGATAAACTTTCAGTTTTAATTGTTTTATAATACTTATTGTATAATAACTACGTCATGTACTAATATGTGTTATTCAATGATTTCTTATGAACATTGATTAATCTCAAACAGGGCACTTTTCTACCTCTGGTCATTCCTCCTACAATATATCATGCGGGCCTGTGGTCAGTCTGGTTGATTGTTCTTTGTTCTTTAAAGGTATATGACATGATATTTATGAAGAACGTGATGTATATGGAAGTATAAAAGCAAGTGCATACCTTCTTACCTATATTTTCCATGTTGTACTTGTATAGATGTTTCAAGCTTTGGCTCGAGATCGACTTGAACGGTTGAATGCATCCCCTTCTGTCACACCATCGACATATTTTCGTGTGTATTCAGTGTTATTGCTGGTGCTGACTGTTGACATTTTCTGGTATCGCTTGATCACTTTTCTTGGAGTACGAATTAGCTCTCTTGCATGTCACTTGATGATAAATAGTTTTTTCTTAGTCTGAACATCATAATGGTTTGTATTGTCCATTTTGGTGCATAACAGGTAACACCACAGGATACGTGGTGGAATACTCCTTTATTTATCTTTTTTCCTGTGTTTGTCTAGCAGTATTAAACCACTACAATCCACCTTTCTAGGTCATGTTTTTAATTTGCAAGGACCAGATCATCAATCTACTTTGGTTTTTGATTCCCAAAACCTGCTGATTAAAAACTAACAGTGGATCAGTTGTTAAATCTTTTGAAATTACTAATTCATTCATGAAGATTCAGTGTTCACATTACTGTGTTTTGCTCCCTCTGTTGTTGCATGAGTTCGTATTACTGAGAAATGCCTCATACTTACATTTTGTTTGGTGCTTGCAGGATAAGGCTGTGTGTGGTGATATATAAAACACTGGGTGTATCTATGTTTCTCTTGTTATTATTTGAGCCTTTCAGTATTGCATTTGAGACATTGCAGGTAATGTCCTGGGAACTTTGTCCATGAAACCTTATCATGTTTTCTGTCAAATTTTGGAAAGCTTGTTGACAGTGTTGGTTGGCTTGCCACAATATTTTTGTAGGCTATTTTGGTGCATGGATTTCAGTTACTTGATATATGGATCCATCATTCAGCATGGAACAGTTCAAATTGCGAGAGGTCCAAATTATTTGATACATCAGCAGTTGGTAGTTCTCCAAATTTACTTTTACTATCTCATATTGTAACTGGGGTTGTTGGGGCTGTTCCTATGCTATATAGTACATTGTTCCTTCTGCTCCTGTAAATGGGTAAAGGCTTACTTGAGTTGTCGGGTGTAAATTGGGGGCTATATGTACTCAGATTGTAGTTACTATATTCATTTGGCTGAATGCAGGTTTATTGTTGGAATGGAAAGGCAGTCTTACTCGGAATTTGGGCTTTGTTCTTGATATGGCAACATTGTTAATGGCCCTTGGTCACTACGTGCATATTTGGTGGTTTCATGGCATGGCATTCCATCTGGTGGATGCAATCCTTTTTCTAAACATACGTGTAAATATTTGTGTAATTTTCATTCTACTTTCTGTTGGAACATCCATTCTCCTTTTTACTTGATTCCCCAATACTATCTTCCTTCTAATTAAGGATCCATTATTGAGCAGGCCTTGCTAAGTTCAATTGTAAAACGTATAAAAGGGTTCATCAAACTGAAGAAAGCCTTAGGTGCTCTTCATGCAGCACTTCCAGATGCAACATCTGAAGAACTACGGGCATATGATGATGAATGTGCAATTTGTAGGGTATGCGTAGTCTTCTTCCCCCTTAATTGGTTACAATTTCAGTTTCCTCTTGATTCCGCAAACTTAATAGGAAAATGGCAGGAACCTATGGCTAAGGCCAAAAGACTACACTGCAGTCACCTTTTTCATCTTGCATGCTTGAGATCTTGGTATGGTGCATGTGTTGTTAAACCCTTACTTTTTCTTTTTTATTTTATTTTTATTTTTAGAGTATGCGATGCCTAGAAAATGTTGAACATTATTAATGATTCCAGGTTGGATCAAGGTTTGAATGAGATCTATTCATGTCCGACTTGTCGCAAGCCACTTTTCGGAGGTAGACCTGAAAATGAAGTACATCCCCGCAGTGAAGAAACTTCGAGTGATGAGCAGCTTGCTCGTCAAATAAGTTTAGGACTTGATCGACAAAATACTCCTGGACATGCAATACCTGCTGGTGTGTTTCCCAATCAGACTCAGAGCCCTGCGGAAGGCGATCCATGGAGGTACACTTCCTTATTTAGGAAGTATTGTAGTTTCTCTTTCCTGTCTTTTGCTTCTTGCTGATGTCTTGTCTTTACAAAATGAATCTGGGATTAACATCTTCACTTTAGACTTGGTAAATTTCTATTCAGTTTTTGCCGGGTGTACTAAATTTTATTGGGTGATTAGATTCCAGCACATAAACGAGAAGACATAAGAATACTCTCTGTATGGTTGCATAATCCTTATAGATGCATGCAAAACCCGGCACTCCTCGTAGCTTTTTCCTTAAAACTGTTTGATTGCAATGTAATAACAAGTAGACAATTTGTCTTCCTATACTGATATTCCTGAATCTGCTCAGATGATGTACGAGAAATTAAATATGTGAGAAAATAAATACATGTAAAGGACTTTCGTTAAAAAAACATATGATCATATTTATTATACATGGTGTATATCATGCTTCTCCTTATGTCTTGTAGAGGTACAGGACTGGATTCAGATTGGTTGCATACTTGGCCAAGCCAGGGAGTTGACGGGGCAGGTCCTTCTACAGCTATGGGATCTGTTGGACTGGGGAGAGTTCAGATGATGATGAGGCATCTTGCATCTGTAGGGGAGGCGTATGCCCACACGGCCCTTGAAGATGGTGCGTGGAGCCTCTGGCCTATGAATGCCCCTCAGGTTGCTGCAACTGGTCCACCGATTCCTCCTGCAGACGGTGGAAGAAACCAAGGAGGAGCACGAAATTTACATATGAGGACCCCCGCACGTACTGTGAATGACAACCTCGCAAACATACTTGCTATGGCTGAGACGGTGAGGGAAGTTCTGCCTCATATGCCGGATGACCTAATTTTCCAGGTACTCTTTGCTTTTAAGACAAATTATGGTTGCCATTGGCGCTTATTTTTAAACCTTCATTTTACATACCATAATGTATTACGTGCCACAGGATTTGCAGCGAACAAATTCAGTTACCGTTACTGTGAATAATCTTCTCCAAATGTGACGAGGCGTTGTATCTTCTTTTGTTGTAACGTGTTCCCAAGTCCTCGAAAAGTAGTTGATGTTGTCTGAACACCACAGATCGTCCTCTGTGAGACTGTTTCCCCACCCACATTGTACATAAAGGCAGCTCACCGGATCACTTTTACTGGAGGAAAGAAGGAAAAGAGGCACAAGTATAGTTTCTTTTTTTTTTTTTTTTACTTCCCTTGTGAAAAATAAATTTTAGACGTTGTGTATGGTTTACAGATGAACGTATTGTTGTTTCCTACGTGGTTTTGAATTGGCCATTCGATTGGCTCGGCCACACGAATTGGTGCGTAGACGAAATCTCCCTTGTGGTTCATAACTTACAGAGAAAATATGCGCAAATGGAATCCGATACGAATTTTTAATCAAAAATAGAAATGGAGAGACATCAAACAAATAATAAACAAGCGGTAAACCGTGATTTATATACGACTTATTCAAAGGTTAGATGCATAGTTCGATTTTATTTTGCAATGAAATTTTGTGTGAGTGAGTGGAACGAGAGGAGGTGAAAGTAGTCAAAAGAGCCAAACGCTGGCTAAACGACATGGGCGGCGAGACGACCCGAGAAATGCTGGGTTTGTAGACGACATGAGTTGGGCTGTTTCGCCCAAAGCAGAGACACCAGTGGTTATTTTGTCTAACGCCGTTAACAAAACAACAGACGGGTAGTTCTCCAAACGTCAAAGTCAACAGGCCATTGTCGCTGCACGTGTCGAATTCTGGTTGAACCGACCCAAATTTCTGATTTTCTTCTGCTTTGACTTTCCTACCTATTTATGTTCTTCGATTTTCATTAGCCAAACAAATGAAGAAAAGAAGTATACCATATGATTCTAATTAAAAGAAGGCTCGGTGCCATTTGTCAGGCAACTTATTATAACTCAAGTGGTTAACCGCATCCAATGCTAATTCTATTTATTAATAATAACATCTTTAATGACAAGACTTCTTATAAAAATTAATTTCTTCCTAATTATCATTTTATTATTTCTTCTTTTTTTATTTTATTTGTTCTTGTTCTTCCTATTCAGAACCCCATTCATAGATTTTTTTTATTTTATTTTTATAATCAACCATTATCACGCATTAATTTGTAATTATCTACTTATATGATCGATTCTTCTTTATATATAATAAACATGTATAACAGATTAATGTATCTTGCTTGTAGGTATATTGTTTTTTTGTACCTTTTAGTTAAGTTTCATATCTCGCTTATAAATATAATATTCATTGATGTATTTGTTACTTGAGGTAGGGTCACATGTTGCTTGTAGGTATATTAGTTTTTTGTTAGAAGACATTATGTAGATTTTTTGGTATTCGAGGATGCATGAAATTAGAAGATTTTAATTTATCTCCAATGTTCAAAAAATGTAAAATGATTAGCCATGTTGATTTATTGGACCCAAATCTAATTAATTTGGATTCCTCACTAATCAATTTATAGACTTTGTCTTTCGATGGTCTTTATCTAACCCGAATTTTGTTTTTCACTTCACTTTGAGGGTCCTTTTCAAATTTCAGTGGAGTTGTTAATGTTGTCTGTGTTATTATTGACAACTGCAGCTATTCATTTTACTGTAGTTCAACCATTTTTATGTCCCGTTGTGCCTCTTTTTCTACTCAAAACAGTGCCTTCTGTCTCTCACCAGCTCTCCTTCTTCGGCAGCCCCGAGGAGCTGGTCGTAGGCTGAGTTTCCATATGTCATGGTAAATAATAATACATCCAATATCCACGAGGTTAATGTATTAAACTACGTTAAATAGAAGCTTAAAATTAACCCTCGACGTTATGTTAATGTTTTAGGCTAAAGTTTCTGTGCAGGTAAGAAAGTTGGAGTAAAAAAGCATGCATGCATGCATGCAACAGACACGGAGCGATAAACATGAAAATCTGACGGAAAAAATCGAGGAGGTTTTTCGATGGAAACAAATCAACATGTGTATTTTCTTTTGTGCCTTCCCGGTTTTGCCTAACTTATTTACTTTTGTCCTCAACACATTCCCCTCGGTTCTGTAATTTTATATGAACCCCCATCGACGACGATGCTTCGAAGTTCGAATAACTACAAAACTCCAAAGGTTTAATTGTATTTTACTGATCATATCGTGCTGATTCCTTGGGACCAAGACACTTTTTCTTGACGGGAAAGCAAGATCTTAGTTCAACGTGAATTCGGGCGAACACTATCATGTGCTCGGGATTTTGAGGCGTGACAAAAAAACTAGTGATACAGTGCAACTAATTTTTAAGTGCAGAAGAGAACACAGGATTTGACTAATCCCATCTGCAACAAACCTACTTTTCTCTTTTTGCACAAAGTACTATATGTTGTACTGTTAATTAATTCATGAGAAGTTCGATATTTTATAAAGGATCTCTGTCCAAATCATCCTGCACAAACTGAAGGAAGTATGTATGCATCTTCGTCTAATTATTTTTTAAAATTCTACACTGGTCATAATCCCGATTAAACTAGTTAACTAATGGTTTTAACATTAAACCGATTCAGTTGTGGCTTAATTTTCTCATACATGTCCGGAGTCCACAAACATATATATATGTTTGTTTGAAAGCTTCAAAATATAGCATATCTAATATATCTAGGAGCTTAATATATCTAGGAGCTACGATCTCAGTTTTCTTGGCGAGGGTTTAGGGTTAGGTCTTTATCTTGGGGCCCTTGTTTTAATTTCCAGAATTAGACAAGGGATGCAAGCCACAACAGCCTTCTTTTTTGTTCCCGCATAAGTCTCGTCATCACTCACTGTCTCTCCATCTTCTCACAAGCAATTGAATGATCCTTATATAATTGATTTGCTGCTGCTGTTGATTCTCCGTCTCAAGATCATCGTCATGTCGAGTATCCTATCTTCCCTTTTCTCGATCTTTCTTCTGTTTCTTTCGATGCATGCATGCGAGGCTCGCTATATCGGGCTTGGCCCTAAGGGTTTTAGAGCACCATTCCTACCTTTCGGCAAGGTTTGTTAATTTTGTGTTTCAATTTCTTACCAGCCGTTTGATAATCATTTCATTTTTAATTTTACTATTTTTTTTTTTAAACGGAAAACTTGTTTGGTAATGAAAACCAAAAACTACAATTTTTATGAGTTTTCAAATTTTGGTTTTTTTGTTTTCAAATATTTGAAAACTAAAAAATTGTTTGCTGCAGTGCAGTCACTAAATTGAAAACTAAAATGATTATTAAACGAGCCTTTTACGCTACACTAATCTATGAAAGTTCACAAACTAATGCATGTAGGTATTTGAAACTGTTAAAATTTCAGGGTCTGTTACTTTTGGAGAAGTTTAAAACACTTGGAATGGATTCAAGTAAAGGATTCGTTATGAAGGAAGATGACGCAACCGAAAAGGGTCATGGTGGTGCAATCACTAGTACTACGACTACTGTAAAGGAAGTGAAGTGCACTAGCAGAGGACAAAAATCAGGTGTTGTACCAGCTACTAAGCCTCATGGAATTTGATTAATCGCGTCAAGAACCATGGAAAAACTAAAGCCGGGATTTACTCAGATTATTCGAGACCAAGAACACGTCCTCCACCCCATAACTGAGCTTAAATTATTTATGTAGTAGCATCTTTTATCCTCCTCCATTTATAAATACGAGTATATACATGTCCAAGGACCACTTTCTATTCCTGTGCATCTATACCTTGCTGAGATCTCCAGTTTTGATCATAAACCTTAGATATTAACTAATTAATCGATGTATCATATATGATCGGTCTTCTTCTTGTCATTTCATTGATAGGGATAGAACCAGCCGGAAGTGAGATTGTAGCGTCTTATGGTCATCACATGGTGGGTTTGCTTAAAGCAACAAGTCCTACTACTAAAAAGGTAATCAAATTCAACATGTAGGAGTCTTACTAAATTGGTTTTATTTCTCTAGCTAGATGTGGTGGATCGAGGAGCATATGGGACCTCATCAGGATCAATCTTTTTCTTTATGTCGAATCCTGGAGGGTGACAAGGGAAGATTTGTTGTCTGTATGCTTGAATTGTCGAATGTGCGAGTTGCAATTAATTAATTGGGTGTCAGGATCAGAAATTGAAAAAAGTTGAGTTTCCAACATAACATCAATTGGTTATATGAGGAGTGGTCCACATCCTTATAAACACATGCAAAATCTCTTAATTCTCCAATTTATGAAATTCACACTCTCAACAATCATCTTATGCATGTAACCACAAGAAAAATGAAAGGAATAAGTAATGAGTCAGCAGAGATTAGAAAGATTAAACTTAGTAATATGTAGATTAACGCGTTTTTATGCATATGTTGTATATGTAGGAAGCAAGGAGGAGAGCTCTATCTGGTAAAGAAGCCGTAAATTACAACAGTGATGACCAAGTAGAAGATAATGTGGTGCATACAGATTACAACCCGCCACATTCGACACCACCCATTCACAACAGAAAAAGTTAATTACTAAGTGTAAAGCTATAGACAGTCAAGATCAATCCAGCGATCAAAAAGATGCTACTTGTCAGATGCTACTTGTCAAGAGATTAGCTTATAAGAGTTGTTAGTTTGTTAAGAATCAGTTAGTTTTGTTAAGAATTAGTTTGCTTACTGTGTAAGGAATGTAACTAGTATAAATAGGAAATCCTTGTATCCATTGAGTGTGTGAAGAAATAATATCAGTGAAATACTCTCTCATTCTCTTCGATCTCCCGTTCTCTCTCTAGACTCTGTGCTTACAACTTCTTTCTCTAAAACACCATTGTTGATCTTCAAGCTCCAAACTGCTCAATTCAACATGGTATCCTCGTCGGGAAAGGTTTCTTCTCTTCGATCTTGATCGTCTCTGCTTTCGATTTCATCCTTGTAATCACTGTGGTATGCGATTCATCATCTTCATTGATAAGAAAATTTGTATGAAATTTAGTCGATCTCGACTTTTGATCTTTGCACATCAGATGTTTGTTAAAATATATGTGCCAATTCTTCTGTGATAATATTCTTTGCGAAGTTGTGTTCATTCTTTTCTTCAAGAACAAGAATCAAGAAAGTTCTTCAAAACCCTTATTTCTACAAGAAATCTTCTCTGATCTTCTTTTTTGCTTACAAAATTTGAGTTAGCATGGTGACTGCTGCACAGCTACAAATTGTGCAATCTCCAATCACAAGTTTAATTCCTAATGTATCTACTCAAGTGACTATTAATATAGATGATACGAATTACTTAGTCTGGCATTACCAAATGCAATTACTTCTTGAGAGCCATGGAATTCCTAGTTTTTTTATGGTTCTCACAAATGTCCATC